TAATTATTTGAGGTGATTAGTGATCGTTAGTCGATGATTATTTGGAAATCGTGAGATGCGGTTTGGTGTGATGTAGGTTTTAGAAAAACATTTGCTTTATCGTGCCAACGTTTCGATCTTTATTGAGATCATCTTCAGGGCCTGGGATTTACAAACATTGTTTAAATTTTACAAATACATGTAGGAAGTGGATGTAGGCAGAAGACAAACACTTTGAGTGAGTAGAAATACATTTAATATAAAAAATATATTTTGCATTGTATAAATTCACTTTTCCACATCCTAAATGTATTTGTTAAATGTAAACAATGTTTGTAAATCCCAGGCACCGAAGATGAGCTCAATAAAGGTCGAAACGTTGGCACGATAAAGCAAATGTTTTCTGAAACCTACATCACACCTGACCGCTTCTCATGATTGCCGAATAATTATGTAATTATTATTATTTACTTTTGAGAAGATAATAATAAAAAATATTGAGACTACTCACTATTCTACCAAAATCTTTAATTACATGTATACGCTCTTTTTAAGGATCGTATGTCAAGAACATATCATCACCTTTTGCACTTAAAATTTTGTCTATTATGTCCTAACATTTGCATATATGAATTCATTTAAAAAACTGAAATATACATTTTTAGGCTAAATAATATATAATTTCCCCTATATTCTTTTTTAATTGTGACTAGATAATTGGAAAATTAATAAATTATAGTATTAGTATTAGTAAATTATAGTATAGTAATAAAAGGCATGTTAGGCCTGCGTTTTAATCATTTTCTTTCCGTTAATTATTGGCTTGCGCATTCCTGTCTGATTTACTGGTAATTTTCTTTCTTTGAGATATCACGAAAAAAATATTACTATAAACACCGGATACCTTTGTGAATAGATATTTGGCCAATATTGAAAAAAAAAGGAAATATAAATTCATCATAACTCTATTGTAGCAACAGTAAAATAATGAATTTAACACATAAATAACGAGAATGTATTTAATTATTCTAAATATCTTATACATTTTTATCCAAAAGTTTACATTTTGATAACTTTTGAATAGATTTTTTCCTTAGATTGTTATCTTCCTTTATCTGTTTTAATCGGTCTTATATAATATAAAAATGATTGAATTACGTTTACAGGTAATAATAGGCATCTGTAGATAACCCTGCGGTCTCTTTTCATCCCCTTCTTTCCGTTAATTGCAGCTGGCGCATCTCCTCTCATCTCTCCTGCTACCTGCCAGTTTTTCGTCACAAGAAACGGATTTATGTAAAAGAAATAAAATTGATCAAGTCTGATTAGTAATAGGCACAAAAAAAATTATTAGTATTATGAAATAGCACATTGAAAACATTAAAAACAGTCCACCCTGCGAACATCGTCTAAAGGTTTAAATATTTTTTTTATATATTACTATGAATTTTCTTTAAAAAACATTCAATTCATTTTTTCTTCAATTAGAAAAGACAAATCTACTCAAAAGAGCCGCCAGCGTTATTAAAGCAAATTCGCTACGAATCGACTGTATAAATGAGAAAGTATTGTGCAGGGCCACGCACTGTTTCGTCACGGCAGTGATAAATCCAATAGCCGACGGGACAATGAAAAAGTTCAAAAGAGGTTTAAGCAGATATAAATTGTCACACTTAACATCGATTTTATGACTCTTGGGACTTTTGATGCTGGATGTTGACCTGCGGGTTGGTGAATTGATTGGCATTGAGTCCTTTACTAGGTCTGTCTTTTAGAAAAACACCTTTTCCATTATTTTGCCGACGTTCCGACCTTTATTCAGGTCATCTTCAGGGCGTGGGTGAATTACAAAACCTAAGTCCGAAAAATCCGGATTTAAGTAGTTCAATACGCCGCGAGTGAAGACGGCCTCAATAAGTGCCCGAATGCCGGTGGCATCAAATATCATAACGATTTATGCATTTGGTAAAAAAAAGTCTCAATGCACTTTTTGAACATAAGTATGTTGGTATATCAAGATATTATTTGAAATCATGACTTTTGAGGTTAATACGATGTGCAAAAGCTGGTCCCAGTTAGGTCATTCTCAGTCGCCATGTCCAGTGAGAATTTAATGAAAACCTAGTGTATATTACAAAGGAACGGTTGAAGATATGAAGATACTAAAAAACTACGCCGTAGTAACAATGAGAAAATTTGTGTCTCATTAAGAAGCGAAGTCAGCGTCGTGCCACTCCCTGCTTATATCCTTAACTAAATTCTTATCCGGTCAACGTTATTTTTATTAAAGAATGCATGTTAATGAAAAAAATTTGCCTTTCATTTATCAAAGCCTGCCTCAATCCTCATCCTGCTTATAACCCAAGTTTAGGTTTCTTCCTGTCCAAGGAATATTTGCTTTTAAAGGAGACTTTGCTAAATTATTCTCCATTTGAAGTGTCCTTGTAAATATAGGAAAGTTGATGAAACAAACGTACGAAAAAAACTATGTTTGATAAAACTTGTGAATATGTAAGCGGAATGACAGTGTTATGCGCCATCCTACTTATAACCTTAACTAAAGTATTTTTCGGTCAAAGGTATATTAATTTTTTAAGGATGTCATTGTAGAAACTATAAGTACAAATTTTAAATTTGTATGAATGTTAATGAGAAAAATTGTTTCCAATTACATCGTGCCTCACCCTGCTTATACCCTCAGCTGAAGTCTTCCTGTACTCTTCAATGAATAAATTTGTTAGAAATGAGTTTTTAGCGGCCGGTTGTTCAATAATTTGTTGAAATCGTGAGGTGCGACCAGGAATGAAATATTTTAGAAAAACACATTTTCATTTTTTTGCCGACGTTTTGACCTTTACTCGGGTCATCTTTCAGTGTCTGGGTGAATTACAATCGACTTGGGTTTTGTAATTCACCCATGCCCTGAAGATGGCTCGAATAAAGGTCGAAGCGTCGGCAAAATAATGGAAAAGGTGTTTTTCTAAAATATTTCATTCCTGGTCGCACCTCACTTGAATATATGAAAAAAACTTTGTTAGTTTATTCGCAATGTCAAGCCTTCTTGTAAATGCAGGAAAGTTGAAGATAGAAAAGTAGGGAAAAAAGTTTTATATCTAAGTATCCAAAAATTGTCTAATCAAAAAGAGAGAAGCAAGGGTCACGCCTCACCCTGTTTATAACCTTAACTAAAGTTAAATTCACTATTTTTCGTGGTCCGCTTGACCAATTAATATCATCCAATTAATTAAGGTTTTAAGTTGAGATAAAAAAGTCAGTGTAACGAGTGGGATTCGAACCCACGACCTTCGGCTTGATACGCCACTCATGACACTGACTTTTTTATCTCAACTTAAAACCTTAACTAAAGTATTTTTCGGCCAAAGGTAAATTAATTTTTTAAGGATGGCACTGTAGAAATTATAAGTACAAATTTGAAATTTGGATCCATGTTAATAAAAAATTTGTTTCCAATACAGACGAGATGTCAACTCATGCTTCACCCTACTCACTATTTTAATTAAGGTCATAGAACGCGTATGTCATATTTTTTATTTTTTTAAGACACTGAAAATTAAAATTATGTACACTTTGGCTAAAAATGAGATCTTTCTATATTTCAACTTCCAAATTAAATTTTTTTCTTCTAGCCTGTTCGTCTTTTAAAGCGTACACATATTTACTATGTGAAAATGAGAACGTTAAGTTAAAAAGATAAACTTACTTTAAAAATAAATAATAAAACATTTTATCAAAGTAGCAATAAGTGAAAATGTCTTCAATTAAGAGGAGAGTCTGCGATCTGCCCCACCCTGCTTATAACCCTAAAGTCTTTTTAATTATTTTCCGGTGAAATGTGTATTTTGATCTAGGAGCTTTTTATCTTATACTGAAGAACAAACATAATATTATGTTGCGTTGGATTTTTTTTTTTTTTTTTTTTTCAGGAGTTACTGAAGAATTAGGAAATTACTTAAACTGAAGGACTTTATAAGGACTAATAAGTCGTTAATATACGAAGTCAAGTCTTTAAAATAATCTATTATTTTTAAATATGTATTTACGCTTAATTAACATCCAGCTTTCGAAAATTGCAATATTAATATACATAAGAAATGAAGCTCATTTCCACCTCGCAAGTGAAAACCAACACGTACAAAATTGTCTCAATTATTTAACACGAGGCTTATACATTACGAGGATTGCTAGAGTAATAAGGAACAATCGAAACAGGCGTAATAGTAATAATTCAATTTGAATCGTATTTACATAGTCGTTTTGTGATTCATTGGGTCAAATTGCATACCTTGTCAGTCAGAAGACGTCTGAAGACTCACTACCGGAGGAGGGGACTTTTCTGGCTTGGGCGATAAATATCCTGGAAGCCTTGGCCGTCAATTTCACTCCTCCGAACCACCCTGATTTATAGATGTGTAGTGTATTAAAAACACCTTAAACGCTAATTTCCAGCCAGCCCTGAAATTACAACGTTTCGCCTCGAGGAAGGCCAATTTCCATGATTAAATTTGATTAACCCTTCCCTGTGAGTTTTTTCCTACCAAATTAAACCTCTAGACGTTAAGAAGATCCGTGTTTTGTTTTTTCTAGAACCATAATTTATTGTTCAATACATTTTTTTAGTTTTTTCCCAATAATACAAATATAAAATAAATTAACAAACTTCAGAAATAATTAAGAAATGGTTTTATTTGAGCAGGCATTTGTAATGGTAAAGTCTAAACAGTTTTGAGAATTCCGTCTTGGAAGATGGATTGAGCTGTTGCTTTGGAAAAAAAAATGAGTCCATACCAATTTTCTTGACTTCAGGTTATATACATATAAAGTTCGTTTCAGCTGGACTGTATAATATTCTATTTAGGTTTATCTTAGTTTTCCCATCGTCTTAACAATTTGTTAATGGTGCATTTTTGTCGTTCCTTTGTTTATTTATGGGAATTATTTGGTCAAAGTAGCTGCCGATCTGTCTCATAGATATATATAGTTTTTCCAATTTTCCCCGGCTGCGATTCGGGATTTGATGAGACGGCTAATCTCTCTCGGAATTGAATAATGCGGGCCATCAATAACCGACCGGGGGCCGGGTGCCTAATCATTGATGGTAGTCGGCCTTTGTGCCGGGCCGACCGTTGATGACGGCGAGGAGAAAGGGAAGAGGGAGAAGGACGGAGCTCAGGTAATACGGAGCCGGCACTCGGCAGTCAGTTACACTGCTGACGTCCAGCAACGAGCAACATGCTCGGCCCAAGGATTATCCTGCCATTCGTGCTCTCAGTTGTCTTCGGGGCCGGGATCGCCCTCTGCCACAAGTGCGAGAAGATCACAGTACCCACGTGCACAGAGCTCGGCTACAACTTCACCGTCATGCCCAACTTCGTAGGACACGAAGATCAACTCGCTGCAGAACGAGAGGTAATTTGGCAATTTTTATACTCCGCTAGCTTTAATTTTGGTTAAGACTAAACATCAAAAGCAACTCCTATGTATTTCGTAAAAAAAATATTTTAAAAAAGCAATACACAAAACGATTGTTCAAGTGCTACAACTCTCTTCCTTTCAATCAAAACAAAACGTAAAAATATCTAAATAAAGTATAAAAATAAATATAATACTTTAAAAAGCAGTAAATTTTAAGTAAGTAAACAACAGTATGTTTATAAAAACAGTCATTTATTTCATATTTTCATTTCTTCTTGAGTTGATGCACCTGTAATTTGGTCGTTTCGAATTTTTTGAACCTGCAGAAGCATTTCGGCTTCTCGACAGTTTCATTGGTGGGTCTATCGTGTGTGATCAAAACAGCGAGGATAGAAAGACCAAAATGATCGTAAACGACCGAGCTCCTTTCTCCTTTAATCACATTTCGAGAAATGTATGTAATCCGGTATATGATTAATACTGACTACAATATAAAATGTTGTTTCAAGTCATACACAACCCTTTACAAGCTACCCACTACAATTTTACAGTTGCTGTTTGTAATAGTTTTAAATGTTCAAGTACTTTTTTGAACATCATATTTCTTTGAAGTTTTTGAATTACGAACGACAATCGTAAATTTTTACTGGGTAGCGTACAAACATAATACATTATAACAATTAACAACACCATCAGTATGTAGGCTTTTACAGTTATGATTTGTAAAAAATTTTGATATTCAAATACTTCTATTGTGGTTATCATACTTCTTTGAAAATTGTGAAATATATTTTATGATTCAATATTTGATTAGCCCGGAAAATATCAACAGTATGCTAGAATCTAAAAGATGTAAGATAATGAAATGGAAAGGATTTTTTTCCAAAATGTATTCCTTACAAAACTGTAAGTACAGATATCTCCAGTATTTATCACCACATTGGCTACACTAAAGTTAGTAGTCTGCCCAGAAAAGTTTATAGTTGTCTTAATAAAAATTTAGTAGTCGTATAATTTTTTACGATTATCATAGTTTAAATATTCTGAAATATCTATAATCCACAGACAGCATCGACTGTATAAGAACTTCAGCTGTAAAGTTTTACTGGGTAGCGTACAAATTTAATACTAATGTACAGCAGTTGAATTTGTAAAAATATGAGATATTATCAAATTAAAAAAACAATATCAACAGTATTTCAGATTCGTCAAGAAGTGGGAAAATCAAAAGGGAAGAGTATTCAGTTTCAACATTAATTGTGAACTGCAACTGTAAAGTTTTACTGGGTAGCGGACAAGCATAATTCTGATATCAGAAATATTTATTACAGTTTGTACAACTATTCATTTTGCGGGCTATCCTGTAAAACTTTACAGACGTTGTTCACTGAAATTCCTACTGTCTATTGACAAATATTAATCATGCAGTAGTAAGTCTTTATCTTAAAAGTTATGCAATAGAAAACTCATACTGTTGTGCAACACTGATTATTTTGTGTGGTGATTAGTGACCGTTAATCGATAATTATTCAGAAATCGTGAGATGCGGTCTGGTGTGATGTAGGTTTCAGAAAAACATTTTCTTTATTGTGCCAACGTTTCGATCTTTATTGAGATCATCTTCAGGGCCTGGGATTTATAAACAATGTTTACATTTAACAAATACATTTAGGATGTGGAAAAGAGAATTTATACAATGCAAAATATATTTTTTATATTCCATATTTCTACTCACTCAAAATGTTTGCCTTCTGTGTAATTGTGCCATTCTTGCGTGTCGGGTTGAGAGTGCCAGTGAGATTTTTCTGTTTTATGTTTATAAATTCACTTTTCCACATCCTAAATGTATTTGTTAAATGTAAACAATGTTTGTAAATCCCAGGCCCTGAAGATGATCTCAATAAAGGTCGAAACGTTGGCACGATAAAGAAAATGTTTTTCTGAAACCTACATCACACCAGATCGAATAACTATGATTATTAATGATGATTCTTTTGATGTTTTCGACTGGTTTATGGTTCTATTGTCTAAGCACGCGCACTGTACATATTAAGCCCGGTAGACATCGAAGTATCATTGTTTGCTCTTTTTCGACTAATAAAGAAAATTTGAATGAAACAATTTGAAGCTCGTCGCGACAATTATTTAACAGAGGGTGTAAAAGAATTAAACAATATCATTTTTTACTATGAATAAGAAGGCCAATTGTGTATTTAACTTGATCACCCCTGATTACTCAGATCAGCTTATTTTCGCTGTATTCTTTCGCGTTGCTCTGTTTACACTTCAGTCGTTTGTCTGTGTTTTTGTTTATACTCATTGGTAGGTACTAAACAAAAACGTTTTTCTTGCTATTAAGCCTGCGATACCCTGTATATTCGGGATGAGGCGCGTGTAGAAAAAAATTCCCAATACTCTTTATGACCAGACCTCCTACAATTTAGCCCTCCGGGTCCCCTTTTACAATGGTCATAACACGGTTTACGGCTAGGGCCCATTCAAAATCATCTCCCCCTTGAGAGGATGGGATTTTATAGTTTCCTGCTTTAAAACGAACACTTGTCGGAGGCGTGAGTTAATTGAACTTTCAAACTAGTTTTCCTTTGGCGAAAAATTGAACCAGGCCATAAAACAGAGCATGGCCCATTCCCTGAAAAGTAATGCAAGTATGGAAAGCAATGTAAGTTAATCAAAATGTGAAATATTTTTACCTGTAAATTAGATTGAATATAGTTAGATAAATTATTAGTTAACTTAGTTAGATAGCCTAGAGATCTTTTGATGACCAGCTTGCACCCGATTGTAAAAGATCTTTACCAACGCAGAAATTCCTTTAAAACTCTTTACTTTGCTTGATCCGAACTAATAGGAGTATTTAAAGGTGATAGAAATGACATTTCTGCAATATTGCTATCTGGAAAATATCGCTGAAGAGTACATATCAGTCAGAGGGCAAAATGTGGAGAGATGGAAAAAAAATAACCTGCAACTCTCAACAGCATTGTGGGTTCAGCGTGTCTGCTCTTATATCATGTTTTCAAAACCTATGTATGTCAAAACCTACCAATTCCACCAATTTGGATTTTGTAGGAAATATCATGTTACATTTCAGGTTAAAAGGTTCTCCCTAATCAAGGTGGAATCGAGTTGTCTCTCTCTCATAAATGATTTCGAGATCGTAAAATGCTAATATCGAGGGAACAGGCGGCCGCCGTAAATCGTGAAACGGGCCAATCTTCTTAAGAGGCGTCGGAATCTTTTACAAGGATCGCCTTTGGTTTAAAACTGGATGGCGACCGTTGAAATTTCGGTTTCCGGTGATATGTGCAATTTTCTCATTCCTCGCGATTCGAATCGAAACCTGACCCGATCGAGGCCGGTTTTACAGAATTGGAAATAGTCGCATTCCGATTCACAACTGGTGGCTGCATAAAAGGGTTCTGGAAGTGCTGAAAGCAAAGATAAAAGTAAATCCGCCGCCGGTCGCGATCCCCTGCCTTTTAAAGTCGTTTTAGACATTTCGCAAACAAAACTTGCTCCAGCTCTTACTTGTCAACAAATATGGGATAATGGGCACCAAGAAGAAATTGGTAACTACTGCTGTAATAATCAATGTAAATAACTTGAATTGCTACTTTTATTACAAAGTACGTCTGTAAAGTTTTACTAAGTGGCGCATAAAAATAATACTAATATGAATACATGAGGGGGAGAAGTTCGTATTTTAATGATGTTGATATAGAGTATATTTGCAGACTACGAAGTAAAACTTATTAATATTTCTCAAAAGACAATAGGAAATTCAACGAAGACGACTGTAAAGTTTTATTGGGTCGCAAGCTAATTGAATAATTGTCCAAATTGTGATCCTGTTGATATCAGTATTCTTTTTGCATGCCGTACAGTAAAACTTTACAGTTGAATTTCTTCTCAATAAATTGTGAAATGTAGTATTCATCCCTTTTGAATGTCACATTTCTTGACTATTCTGAATTACTTTTGGTTTTGTCTGTTCAATTTTATAATATCTCAAATTTTTACACAATTCAACTGCAAAGTAAAGCAGTATTAAGTTTCTACGCGAGCCAGTAAAACTTTACAGTTGAAGTCCTCAATAAATTATGAAATCTGGTATCTTCCCTTTGGTTGAATGTGACATTTCTTGACGGTTCTGAAATATGTATGTCGATATTGTCTGTTTAATTTTATAATATCTCAAAAGTTTACACAATTCAACTGTAAAGAATATCACTATTAAGTTTGTTCGCTACCCAGTAAAACTTTACAGTAGAATTTCTCAATAAATTATTAAATCCAGTATTCTTCCCTTTTGAATGTCACATTTCTTGTCGATTCTGAATTACTGTTGATATTGTCTGTTTAATTTTATAATATCTCAAATTTTTACAAAATTCAACTGTAAAGTATATCTTTATTAAGTTTCTACGTTACCCAGTAAAACTTTACAGTTGTAGTTCCTAATAAATTTTATTGTTATTAAATTTTTATATTTTATAACTGACAATTCTTTACTTTTCATTATCATGCTTTTTAACGGTTCTGAAATACTGTTGGTATTGTCCGGGCTAATCAAACATTGGATTGTAAAATATATTTCCCAATTTTCTAAGAATTATGGCAATGAAAAAAAGTCTTTGAATATCTAATGTTTTATAAACTAAATGTAAAGTTTTCCTAGCAGCCTGCAAACTGAAGAGGCTGGAATGATATTGTATTATTTGATAGTTACCCCATCATCTTGGTCTGTCTGAAGACGGAGAAATGCCGAAACGGGTCTGAATTAACAAAAATCAGCGAGAATAGGCAGACAAGATGATAGGTAACTATCAAATAGTAGGTTTATCACCTCGCAGACCACAGAAGAAAATCTCTCAAATAATATTTGGTTTGTACACTACCAGTAAGACTTTACGGGCTGTAACATGGGTTATTGTTTATTTCATTAAATGTGATTAGTCAACTTGTCGTATCCG